TTACTCTTTAACAAAATTTCCAGAAATATTTGTTATTTAAAAAAAAGCTAGTTCTTGGGCCAGGTATTTAACTTAGTGGTACCGCTGCCTGCCTTACAAGCACAAGGTCCTGAGTTTGATCCCCAGTACCAAAAGAAGAGCTATTTCTTAATTCTTGAAAATATCAATTATTTACATCTTCAGAAGAGAGAAATAGTCCTTCATTATGAACATGCACATTCTAATACTACACATATCACCTCATGGTATGTATAGTAATGAGACAGGTACTAAAGTATTTTATGTATGGGAAAACTGAAGCTCAAGAATACTTTACTTCAAACCAGGCTGTAAGAAGAGATAAGAAAAGGGATTTTAATACAACCCTGGGTTCTTTATTACTCTACGCCCTACCTTTACATCTTTTTTAATAACAAGAAAAGTCTTAAAACTGTTGAGTGGTTTAAAACCTCCATCATCTTAACCTTTTTTAATATAAAATTTCACAGAAAAGTAACCTCCACAATACAGAACTTCCTAGATTTCTGAAAATAAAAGGTAAGCTTTTACCTTTTATTTCTCCTACATTTTATTTATTGTCCAGAATCTCATCTTTGGTAAAACATGGTTTAAAAAACAGTAACACCGGGTGACCTTTCAGAGTCCATGGTGAGGTCTAGTGCAGTCTTAGAGACTAGAGCTGCTAAGATGCTTCAAAGCTCAATTAAAAACATATGGGTCCCCATGAAGTCCTATTACCACCAGGTTTACAAGATTTGGGGAGGATGGGGTTGATGTACTTCATTCCTTATAAAATCAGGAGTGCTTATAAAAGAAGTAAACCTGGGCTGGGGATTTAGCTCAGTGGTTCTGCCACCTGCCTCACAAGTACAAGGTCTAGAGTTCAATCCCCAGTACCAAAAAAAAAAAAAGAAAGAAAAGAAGTAAACCTTTAAAAGGTTCAAGTCCTGAGGCTGCTCTTGGTCATTAATCTACTTACTTGAGTACACATGATATGAAACATCAATCTGCCTGTAAATTTAAGAAAGTCGTGTTAGATGGGAATGTGGAACACTGCTGTACACTTGTTTAAGTGCTGTCTACTATGTGGAATGAATAAATGCATCTGTGAGATGCATCATTACGGTGCCAAGATTGCTTTGTGTGCCCTGCTAGCAGATCTTTTGTAATGTAGAAGTGACCTCAGAATCTCACCAAACTCACCCTCCTTAAGAACAATGAGGAATGAGGACCAAAGATCTCAGTTGCTATACGGCTGGTGGTCAGGGTCTAGGCACTCACTCCAAAATTCTGATACTCAGTATTTGTGTAGATATTTGTGTAGCATATACTATTTTCTCTTTTTCTATTTTAATCTGCATTTATTATTTTGAAGTAAAAGTAAACTTTATTGTATATTGACACAAGAGCCTAAAAAAGTTATCTGTTGAATTATTTTTGTCTCTACTAATCAACTGAATACAGAAATAAGAATATTAGTATATTTTGCATTGTATTACTATGTAATACAGGTCAGTATGATTGGCAGAATATTATCCTGCTCACTAGTGACACTAAAAGTGCATGAATTACCCTCTCAAAGAGATGAGGATTATTTTTTTGTATCGCAGAATCATTAGCATATAGCATACCAAGTACACTTTAAAATAAATTAATGAGCTAACTGATGTTTAAATAAACATCGCATTTTTTACTGTTGGGTATTTCTGATCATATTAAATAAAAATATTTCTAGAAAACTCAGCCAATGTAAAGTGTATTTAGAAGAATCGTATCAGGAAAAATGAGTCAGCACTAGTACTTTTTAATACATATATTAAACTGTCATATGAAGTTTGATGATTTTTCCCAAGTTTTTCTTTTCTTTTCTCCTCCAAACCAGGAAAAAGTATAGTCAATTTGCTTCTGAATCAAGTAAAGTTGTGGACTGAATAATCAATAAGCAAGAAGTTGCCACTGCATAATTTGAGAACTAAAGTTTAAAATATCTGAATTTTTGTATTTTATAATAAAATCAAAACTGAAGCAAATCTTAAAAAAAAATCACTTCATGGATTGGTAATTTCTATCATCTTACACTCCACTAAAATTATGTCTGAGACTAACAATGGTTTTCATCTTTATCATTTAAAAATATTTACAGTACTGTCCAATGTATGACATGGATTCTCTATCATATAGTATGTTTTAGTGTTCTTTTCGGTTTCATTGGTCCTACAGATGTCAAAAGCTGACAGGGATGCCCACCCAAAATATTTTAAACAATTAATAGAATATGGAAAAATCAATTATTCATAATACATGTCATAAGTAATATAGAGAACTTAAAAGAAAATGTATATTTCTTTCCCTTAACTTACGCTGAAGGGAGTGACACCTAGTGACAGTAACTTAAGAAAAGGCCCTGAAACAATCTCTGGTATTAATTTTCCATTCCTGAATTATTCTGATTATATAATTTGTAACACAGTAATATTAAAGAACCAGTAAAAAAAAAAAATTGAGCAATGAAAATGTATAGACCTGGATGTATGCTTTGCCATTTGGTAAGGTACACTTGTAATCACTTTGACTATAATTTTAAAAAATCTTTACATTTAAAAAATGTAATATAGTAATACTGCCACTCTCTAAGTTTACTGTAAAGAATAAGTTGAAATGGTTATTATTACAATGCCCGACATAAATAAAAATACAATCAAGTCACCCTAAAAGAAAGTTAAAGTTGCGAATAAACTGAAATTACAGTAAAGAATCTATAGTTTTCTAGTCACTCAAAAACAGATGAATTTATATAAATGGGAATATAAAAAATATACAGGAAATAGGTTTCAAAATCATTAAGAGATCTAACAAGTCATTTACATATAAACTGTCATTTTAACTCTTGATCTAATCATTGTCTTACTAAATATTTTGACAGCTTTGATAAATCACATGTAAGGAAGGGAAGAGAGTCCTATGCTAGTCTTCATTTTCATGAATTTATACTCTTAAGTTTAATGTTTTAACTAAAATATTCTTGTGATGGATTTACTAGAATTTAATCTGAATCAGAGTGCTAAGAGACTGTGACATAAAAGAATCATAAATTACAACCAAACTCAGAAATTATATAGATAAAGTTTCATGATTAGCGAAGAACTGGATCCATATTTCAGGTAATTTATAAATCTATATGTTAGATATAACAAGTGATATAAATTACCAATAATATAAAATTAAGTATTTTCAAAATTTTTTTTCATGGCACATAGAAGTATAGAGGAATACATATCATTTTGTAAAATAAATTTAGATATGTTTTTAAAAATTAAATCTAAAATTGTCATGGATCATACTAGTGTAGTTTTTTTATACAAAATTTTTTTAATATGAATTGACAACTGGAAATTTTGCAAAATGAAATATTATACAATATTTAAAACTAGGTTTTGAAACTAAAACTGCCATTTAAAATTCAGCTTTAATTATTACTTGCCAATTATTGCAATGGAGGGGTTTTATAGAATATTTATAATTCTAAAATAACAATTACATAATTGAATTACAAGTTACTACAAAGGTATCTTAAAAATCAGAGGATTACACTTAAAGGATATCATAATATACTATAATTCACAAAACTAATAAAAGCAAAGATTGGTAATTTTTTTATCAGTTATGTAACAATACTCTTAGCAAAAAAAGAAAAGAAATTGAAATACAAGCATATAGCAAGTATCAGAAGTTACTACCCATTTTGAATTGTCTAGTATATCAGCTTCTATTATCATTGTTTTTTTGGATAGATTCTGCCTGTGACAAGCTAAATCACATCTAATAGGATATTTTGGAGAAGACCTCAATTTTTATACATCATAATAATATGATGTTAGAAAGACATTCAACTTCAAATTTGTAACAGATAAAAACTCCGCAACAGTCATGTTTAGTTTGAGCTGGTAAGCAGATGTAAATGTAATCTACACTCCTATCAAACTCCAGGTCTGATAGATATCAAGCTAATATTTATTTCTAAGTGCTCTAAAAGTTATTTGTAAAACCTACATAAAAAGGATTCCATAAATGTATTGTGATTTTATTTTAACAATTATTCTACAGCACAATAGAAGTACATGCTCAAACAAGACACCTCAGCAGTATTTTAAAGCAGTAACCACCTAGCCAATTTCTGTATGTTCTGTAGTTTTTCTAATCCACTCTCCCTGTGGTTGAGCAAAATCGAATTGCCTCTCACATTTGCAGACAGCTCTGTGAAGGTGATAATAGAGCTGCTCCCTGCTGTCATGAGGCAGGAAATAGGAAAATGGCATATGGGGCTAGAAAGAAAGAAATGAAAAAAAAAAAAAAAGAAAGAAAGAAAGAAAGAAAGAAAAGAACGAACGAAAGAATAAAAAAAAGAACTAAACAAGAACAAAAGAGATTTCAACAAAGAACAACTATAACCCAACATGCTTTGCAAGTTAATCTCTTTTCACAATCATTTAGCATATTTAATCATTCATCCATGTCTGTTTTCCAAATATATGAATGGTTGAATACCAAGTCAATGGAACCAGTTTTCATTGTCTAAAATATTAGCAACATACAACTCCATAATATTCCTTGCACAGTATTTCTAAGTCAAAGCCCCTTAAACAGACATTTAAAAACTGTGCAATTACAAATTTACCTTGAAATGATGGTAGAGCAATGCTTATTAAAATACTAAAAAATATTAATATTATGGTTTAACAGTCCCATTTTTATGAAATTTAAAGAATGTAAAGATAAAAACTCTTCATAATATGTGATTAAAGTAGAAACAAATCCTTAAATGATATTGATAATATCAGACACATTCACTGAATTGCATACTTTCCCATTTGTTTTACTTAAGTAAACAGCATTTTTCTGTGTAATTAAGAATGCTGTTTAAAGCAAAATAGATTTTTTACTTCATGTACGTGTAGACACAATGTGGCAGTAGATGACAAAAAAGACAGAATTGACTCTACCTTTCCTTTTACACTCTGAATGGGATCCACAACCACTGCCACAGCTCTCTCCGACAAGGCTTCAAAGCTCTGCTGAGTGTTGATATCCACACCAGAAAGCCAACAACCAAAGCCAGGGTGACTGTGATACCAACCAACAACCATCTCAGGCCTGAAACAAAAAGGGCATTCAGATGCTCTGAACAGAAAAAGAAATACATTTATGATATGAAAAGAAACAACACACTAACAGGGTATAAATTAAGAAGAGATGAAAAACACACAGGTGTGAAAAAGCACCATTAGAAACTCTGAAATTGTACACCATATTATCCAGAAAACATGGAAATGAGTAAGTGTGACAAAGGAGTGCTATCATTAAGAGACGCACATTAGCAGTGGTAGATAAGGCTTTCAGTTTTTCACCTTGTTACCACACTTTCTCAGAGCCAGTTTCTACCCTTTCAGCATTCAAGTAAATATCTACTCTTTAACTCCTTAGCTCTGGGAGTTGAATTTTCCAGGCACAGAGAACATTTTAACAATGGACACCAGGATCCACTGTTGTGAAAAGATTAAATATCAATTAAACCAGCAGTAGAACTAGGAACTCAGTCAAAAACCAATTTGCACTGTTCTGCTCAGCTGCTGAGCCTTTTGCTAACATTAATTTTGAAGTTTTTTCCACAGTAGAAGAATTTGAGCAAGAGAATGACAACTATTAAAAGATTATGTGAGGGGAAAAAAACTTAATATTTGGATTTTACTTTCTGTCTTTAAAACTCATGTCTACAAACAAATATTCAAAATCTCATTCTGTTCCAACATTAAAATATACAAAACACAAAACTTTCAATTATAAGTGACTATACAGTAACTCCATATACTAAATAGAGGGAAGCTATAGGCCAAACTTACTAGCTCACTATATGACAGCAAGAATTTTAGTATGGAGCCAGGGATTTGGCTCAGTGGTTGTGCTGCCTACCTCTCAAGGGCAAGGGCCTGGGCCCAAGTTCAATTACCGGTACCAAAAAAAAGAATAAAATAAAACAAATAAATAATAATATGAAGCAGATCGCTGATTGGCAGATTTCTTTCATTCTAAGAGGAAGAGATATCACATAGGTAGTCCATAAAACTCATACATTTATATCACTTGCATGGCTTATTTTGTCTAGGAATGATATTCATAAACATTTGAACTTCAAGGTATGCTTCTAAATATTTCCCATTATTTTTTAAATGCTCCTTTAAAATACTTACCTTCCTGTTTGCTTCAACATATCTAACATTTTGGCTTGGAACACTGGATCAACTGCTTCTACACTGACACCCTAGCTCAGAAAGAAAGAAGAATTTATTTTTATAACTTTGAAATAAAAAGAAACTTTATATTGTAATGCACATAAAACCTAGCCCCCAAATAAATATAAGTTTTTGTAACTTTTAAGTCATTTAATTTATAAAGTAATTAATTATGAACTTTACACCAATAAAGTTTCTAAAATTCTTATATACTGAACTGTTGTTAGCTAATGAATAAGGAGAACATTAAAAATCCTTTAAGAGTTTATACTACATATGTATCTGTCAGAAATATCAAATAATTGAACCAACTATGACTTCTGGCTAGACCTATCTAGGCAAGAATACTTCCTAATGCCATCTACTCATCACTGGTAAGGACTACTACTGTTTAGTTATTACAATGAAACAATATTTGTTTAATGATTTAAACAACTTTGAAGAAGGTTAATAATTTGCTGCTTCAAATAAAAGTAATCACAAAAATACTCCCCCACCAGAGATAGACTGTGACCAAATATCTTAAATGTTTCATTTTGCTAGTTCAACCAAAATAAGATTTTAGCACATAGGAATATAAAAAGAGTCCATATTATTTCTCTGGTAATAGTCATTGTCATGATAGCTCCTCTAAGGCTTTCCCCTAACATCAGGATTCTAAATCTAATGTAGATAAACAAACCAGTTAACATAAGCACTTCCTCCTACCAAAGCAAACAGTATACTGAATTCCAATAGAGTGCATGCACCCTTTGTAGTATGCAATTTGCTGCTGGGATAATTTATTTATTTATACATATTTTAAAAGAAAGAATACAAAGAAGGAGGAGAGAAAGCAGGGAGAATGAAGAGGAGAGAGAGATTAATAGGCAGCAGAAATATGACTTTACACAAAAGTTTTCTGACTAATGGTCCAGACGGAGAAATCTCTAATTCTACTACATAGAATAAATAAGATTTTAAAAAATTTATTTGATATAGTCAAATAAGCACTTAGATGGAAGTAATGATATAAAGCCTAAGAACTATTTATTATTATCAGTATTTATATAAGAACCAAATGTAATATAACAAAAGGTTAATTTATTGTTTTCAGATATTCTGATAAGAAAAGATATATATCATAATGTATATTACATATAAATGTAGTAATAGTCTAAGATTTAAACCTAGTCTGGGGATAGAGCTCAGTGGCACTGCACCTGCTTGGCAAGTGCAAGGTCCTGAGTTTAATCGCTGTTTACCAAAAAAAAAAAATTTTTTTTTAATCTAAACCTTTAATGACTATAATAGTCACATATATATGTATATGTGTGTGACTGTATATTTTTGAAGGCAAACAGATGAGAAGAATATATACAGTACATGTATTATTTTTGGAAGGGAAGTGGTTACTCATTTTAGACTATTTTCTTTAAATCTAAATGTACTTGCATCTATAAAACTATAATGAACTAAATAAAAAGGCAAGTTAAAATAAACACCTCTACAAAGAATATATTCTAAAGAGGCAGAGTAGGTAACCTTCAAAACACATATGGAACATGGTTTATATAAACAAATTAACATACCTAGACAAAAAGAACCAAGATTCACGACAGTTGTTTCCTACTACTTAACATTTTTAATAAGAAGGCTTAAAAGTCATTCATCACCATATATACAACATTTTTAAAAAAGATATATTTCAAAATAATGGGACTAACATATGTGCATTAAAAATTTAAATAAAAGAACCTCTGAAATCTTTTCAAACAAGTGTTCAACCTAAAACTGTGCTTGTACAAATACAGTAGCTAACTTTAAATCCAATTCATTTTGCTAATTAAAGCTGAAGGAACTTGTAAAAAAAATCAGTATCAGCATCATTCAGTTTGTGACCCTATACAAATACATAGTGCATTAAAAAGACTAATGATTTAATTCAATACAACTCAGAAATTTATACCACTAACTGTATGATTAATTTTTCCTATCAGAGAGAAAACAAAATGATGAAAATTATTTTGCATAGGAAAAGAAAAAAGAAAAGAAACACATTTACTTGCAGCAGGCATCCATAAAAGTACTCACTGTTCCTGACTGTGGCATAGCAAACACATCAATCACTCTGACGGTGTAATCATCAACAAATTCTCCAAGCATCAGACCCATAACTTCCATTGGAACTCCAGCACGGCCATGCTTTAACATCTGTAAAGAGGAAGATGTGGACATAAAGCTCTTTTCTTTCAGATCTCAGGTCTTTTTGTTTTGTTTTGTTTTTATTCATAACCTAATTGTGCTCCAGTAAAAATGAAAGTCTATTTTATAGATGTATCTAAACACAAATTTATGTCTGAGGGTAGTAAGGTGACAAATACGCCGACGTAAAAGTAAAAGTAAGAGAAGTCAGTAAAACAAGTAACTCCATAATCACTTACTTTTAACAGTGCCAGCGAAGAGATATAGACTTGTTCTGCAGTGTCCACTGCAGGAGCATCTGTAGGCGGCCCCTAGAAACAAATGCATGAATTATCATAAAAAGCAGATATGACATGTCATATATATGTGACTATTTTAAAGGAATTCCAGAAAAACATTTCAAGTTTCTTTCAATTCAGTTCAAAACAAACATGACTGCAACTATCAAACCTGAAGAAAATAGATGAAACTTAGCACTCTATCAAGTTTCCAATGCACATAAAACTTTAGCAATGCTACTCCACCTTTGCTACTAAATAACACAAATGAACCCATCAGGGACACTTCTTACCTCAAAGGGAATGTAAAATGCTTTTAGACTAGATGATTAACTGAAGGATCCACACAAACAGCAAATCCTCTGAGCTTCTTGATTTTTAGCTAAAGGCAGCATGTAGGTTAAGGATATGGGATCACTTTGCAAATTCATAGGTACAGTGGGAGGGGAGAGGGAAGACTTCTAATCCCTAGGTGAAAGAGCTGTGAACATCCTCTATACTTCACCTAATGAAGTTGTTCCCCTCCCCCTGCACAACAACAAATTTAACACAATTACCTCAGATGTGAACTAACTGTTTAAGAATGGTGTCTTAACATGAAAATCCTGACCACTACCTTTAAAACAAGTATCACTACTCTTATTACAGGCTAAAGATGATACTAAGTTTCTTCAGAAAGATCCTATCTTATTTGCAAAAAGAAACAAATTTCTTTTGACTATAACATTCAGCTACACAAAGCAATTTATAGTCTTTACCCTCAAGATGCCTACAATCTTACAAATATGATTTTGTCCCAGTTGATGTACATAAAAACTTTTTTTTTTTAGTACTGAGAAGTCTGGGAAATTATATTGAGTTCTGATTTATAATTGCCAAGTTGTTTTGCTTAGTTTCCTGCCTGACGATAGCTAAGTTTCTTTTAAATACAAAAATCACATACCAAATATCCTGGTTTATTTACTTTTGTGCAAGGTAGTCCAAAAAGTCAAGCTCCAAAAATTTATATTTAATAATAAATGCCAGACAATAGTTAAAGCTTCATTTATTATCATATAATGTGGCTTTATTGCTTATCTTACAGAAGATAATCTTTCAGAATGAAAATTTTATAGTACACTATTTTTAGGCAAACATTTGTTGAAGTCATCATAATTTTAGTGATATAATTGTATTAATTTAACTAACAACAATTAAGAAATGCTGGGGAAAGTAGTAAGTTAGATATGATGACAAGTTTGAGGAGGTAATACATTAAGGTTAGGATGATGAATATTATATTCATAAATTATTTTCTGAATCTAAAGCAACTTTAAAACTTGTACATGGAAAACACAATTAAGCTGGTATCTTGATTGTATATATAAAGCCTTTCTCAATTTGCCAGAAAATATTTATGCTTTAAAAAGAACAAAATAAAACATCACACCATTGCCAAAATGCACTGTACTGACGGAATCCAGAAACTATTACTGCAATCAATGAAGGGGGAAAATCTGTTTTGTTCAACATTATATATAATCAGGAACTAGTAAAGTACCTGGCACATAGTCACAACTCAGTGTTAGTTGAAAGAATGAATTAAGTTTCTGCAAGTCAATGGAACAAAAAAGAAAAATACTAGTTGTAAGAGAGGAAGCAAGCCACATGCAAGTAAAGTATCTCAGCTCCTTTTTCACAATGTGTTATTTTCTCCTGGTTCAGAAACAAAGTCATGTACTAGGTAGAAGAAAACTATGCAACCGTTTCTTTACTATACATGTGCTGTTTTGACACAGCAGACAGTGAAGTGATATTTCTTGTTGTCCTTCTCACACCTTTACCTGATTACTGTTGTTTTGTTTCTTTTTCTTTCTTTTTTTTTTTTTTTTTTTTTTTGTTTGGGGGTTCGAACTCCGGCTTGTGCTTG